CTATACAACCCAAGTGAAAGTGGAGATGTACAGTCTCACATGAAGGTCACAGATCGCTGTTTCCACAGAGAATGAACAGAGTTGAGAGAAAAACACACACACACACACACACACACACACACACACATATGTGTTACATATATTATACATAAGAAAATAAGAGTATAATATAGAGAGAGGGAGAAGGGATTGACATGTGAAGCAAGCTTGTTCCTAATTTGAACTAATAAAAAATATTAAAAAATCAGAAAAAAATAAATAATAATATATAGCAGTTATATCTATAACTATGTGATATAATATGTATGACTATATAGTGATAATTATGTATTACATAATTAATTATATGTGTATTTTATATTATATAACATGATATTTGTTATAATATGCTGCATATTATATAATATATTCTGTGTGATATTATATGTGGTGTTTTATTTTATATGTGTAAAAATATTTACATAGTTGCCATGCAAGCTCAGACTCAATTATTATATTCATATCATTACTGTTTTACTCAATTTATTTCCTCAGTTTATTGCACAGGTTGTTCAGCATTGGCTAGTTCACAGTACTCCTTAAGGGGAGATCCAAGAAGAATATGGCAACCCATAGAGTGAAATCTAGATTGTTATAGTAAGTCCTTGATGTTATTGAACCCAGCTATTCCCAGCCCTTAGCAAGAAGAGACTTTATATAGAGGTTGAAAAAGAATTCAAAATGAGTGTCTTGGGGCTGGAGAGACAGCTCAGAGGTAAAGACCACTGCCTGCTCTTGGCAGAGGACCTGGGTTCTGTTCCCATCATCCACATGGCAGCTCACAACTATCCAAAACTCCAGTTCTATAAGTTCTGACACCCTCTTCTGATCTCCTGAGGCATCACAAATGCATGGTACATATACACATAAGCAGGCACAATACCCATACACATAAAACTCTTTAAAAAGGAAAAAAAAAAGTATCCACCCCATTGAAATCACAGTATTTTTCTCTAGAGAGACTACATACCTTACTGTTTTCCTAGAATTTATCATGTGGTACCCAAAATAATTGTTTCCAATGCTCTGTATCATTTTTTCTGCTTGATATTTATTATCATATGGCTAGACATGAGAATAGCTTGAAAAATCCCTGAAAAGGGGATGTCTCATTGTTTGCCACTGTTGACGGAGAAAAAGTAGATCCTTTATTTCACTTGACTACAGTTTTCCTCTTGGCTTCATGCTACTGTTAATCTTTGATGGTGTCCTCCTCCTCTAGGTAAAGGATCCCCCTCGCACACACTCAGTGCAGGTACTGAGTTCAAACAACACTTCCTGGATCCACACACAAAGACCTATGCAGAAACATTGCAATGAAAATGTCAGTGCTATCCTTTTCTCTACAGACCTTTCAAAGCACTCACAACACACATTTTGTGTGCAGGAAAGATGGCTTAGCCATTAAGTACACATACTGCTCTTGCAGAGGACCCGAGTTCACTTCCCTGCACTTGTGTCTAACAGCCCACAACTGCCTGTAACTCCAGCTACAGGGCTTTCAGCATGTCTGACACCCGTAGGCACCTGCAATCACATGTATATACCCACACAGAGACACAGACACAGACAGACAGACACACACGTACACACACACAATTAAAAGCAAAAGCAAATCTTTAAACATATATCCATAATCTGTATAATAGTGATATTTGCTTTATCTAAAGGAGATATACCAGGCTGCACAGGGTTGAAATCTCCATTAAAAGAAGGCATGCTAAGAATCTAAAGGTTTGTTATGGTTGTGTGAACCATTAAGATAGAAATCGAATGAACATAGCCTAGTGCTTAATGAAGTAACATATGCTGGCCAGTGATAAAAACAGATACATTTTGAGTGCCTGGCCACATTTGAGGGGCCTATTTTGAGAGACTCTAGGACATAGTCAATTTAGTGTACTAAACTCAGTCTATTTAAATAAGGCTTATTAAAGTTAAACCCCACATTGTTCCTCTAAAATAAAGCCATATGCTTTTTCTCTCCCATGCCCCGCCAGAGAAGACTACACATTTCTCAGCTCTCTGTTTTCCTAAGGACACTTCTCCTCAACTTGTTTGCATTCTTCACGTTAATTAGTTAAAGAACATCTGAGTTTATAATCATGAAGAGATGATGTTTTTTAAGGTATAATTCATCTTAAATTCACTTTCAGTTGTCAGTTTAGGTCTCTGAAACATTCCAGGGAAGGATTGCATAAGAGGAAAATACAAGCACACGTTCTTTTTCCTGTTGTAAGCTTATATTTAGAACCAACAGAAAGAAAGCCAAAAGTTATATTTGCAAGATAACAGTGTGTAAGCAAAGATGTTAATAATTAGTGAAGAATGCATATCATAACAAGAAACTATGTCTTTCCCTTTATAATATCCAAAGCATAAAAAGCCTCCAGTTTGTAGCTAACTCCATTCAGCCCTTTCAAAAATGTTCAACAATATTTATTTACTATTTATTAATTTCTGCCAAAGTCACATGATTTGCCTGAAATCGCCAGTCCAGAGAGTTATTTCCTGTGACTGTTTTCCATAAATAGTAGAACATGCTTCCCTAGAATGGAAATGAACACATTTTACCTTTCCTTTTTAAAAAATATTTCCCTCCTTCCCTTCCTTTTTTGCAGCCGCCTTAAATGAAGCTGCTTGGACGAGTGCCCAGAGCCAATTGGTTCCCTGCGACGTTTGTGGGCGGACCTTCCTGCCAGACAGACTGATTGTTCACCAGCGATCTTGTAAACCTAGAGCTGCCAAGTAAAGCCCTTTTCCCAGCACCGAGTGTTTCAAGAGTGAATTCCTTCAAAAAGGAGAGCGCTTCAGTGGGGAGGCAAGGAAGGTGGGGAGATGACAACAGGAGAACTGTGGAAGGCCAGCTCTGTGTAGAGGCAGCCAGGTTCATCCCTGCTGTTAGGGGAACCATGTCACACTCTTGTCAGGTGGCTTCACACTAGAGCTGGAAATTTGGTCTGAAGGATATTTCTCAGGCAATTGTTTCCAGTTTTCTCCCATTCTGTTTCCTCAACAAGATTTTCGTACCTGAGAGTGAGCCCTGTGCCTAGCAAACAGAGGCTTAAAAGGGCAATTAGAAGCAACTACCGTGTAAGCAGAATGGATTTCCTTCCTGGTTCCTTGCTTTCTGATCCAGGGATCCTTTTACACTGAGTTACTGACTGAGGAGTTTCTTTTCCCTGTAGAATCATTTGACAGGATACATAAACTTAAAAGGGATGAAGATGTAAAAAATATTAGAACCATATTTAACTCTTACTTTGTTTCTAATAGCAAGAAATGCTTCCAAGGCACTGCCTAGGGTCATGTGTCAGGAGGCCTCTGCAACATCAAAATGGGTGGAGGCTAGCGCCTTCCTCCTGTGGAGGTCTAGCAATGGTTGTTAAGCCCTCCTTGGGTTTTATAGGTTCTTCATTGTTGATTTTAAAAGTCTGCCAGGAAGTTCTGTGCCTCCCCACCCAGGCCCACGAATCCTAACTGGGTTGTGAAAGAACTTTGTATTTTAGAGACCTTGAATGTGCTTTAATCCAGGCAGGGCTCTCCCAGAAGGGGGCTTGGGGCCAGAGAGGTGTTCTGGACAGGAAGCTCTGCTCTCCTGGGCAGTGTGGCTTTGCCTAGAATCCCAGCATTCAACTTGGGATCTTTGTTCATGATTGGGCTGAATTCCAAGACCATGAGGATCCACCAGCTTCCTGCAGTCCTTGCCTTCATGAGCTTACAAAGCACAGCCAACTATAAATCATAGGTGAATGCATTCAACCTAATATTTTGGTTCCACATCTACTTATTATCCAGGGTTAGGTTAGGGCAATTGTGCCAATCATTTTGTTTTTTGTTTTTTTTTTTTTCTGTCTGCCAAAGGAAGCAAGAGATTTTCAAAAGCCCAGAGATCTCTGAAACAAGAATCTTGTGAAAAGAGTTGGCATTTAGTAACTAATAGTTGGTGACTCTTTATTTCAGCTTGTGAACCTAAATGGTGGAATGTAGCATAGTTGAGTGTACTGTGGGGCCAGGTACTGTGTCATGCCTATGTACAACTTATATCAGCTCCATAAGTAGATGGAGTCATGTTTATTTTACAAATCAGAGAACAAATACTTAATTTGGGAGCACACTAAGATTGAGTAAAGCAACAGAATAAAAAAACAAACTTGGGATCTGACACTGTGACTTGTCATTCTTCCGCTGATCTGGGTTTATCTTAGACAGAGGTGAAAAAAAAAAAAAAACTTTGAAGCAGGTTACATTAGAGGTTTTGAAAGATGTTTTGGTATTTTGCAGATGTTCCAGGAATAAACTGTGAGGGGAGGATAGGTAGAGCAAGCATTCTGGCTTCAACTTTGAAAGGAGTTGCAGCTAAGCATCATAAAGAGATTCATTGCACAGCCAAATAACAGCAGCTGTATCTTCATCTATATGAATTAAGCCTCTGAGTTTCTGAAGTGTTTGAAAACACTCATCTAGACATTATCACATCCTAGGAGAACTGTGAACAGGCTTGAAAATCCATCAAGGAACTTACTGCATATGGTTTCACCTCCGCTGGTCTTCAAATGTTCCATGGAATTAAACATGGAGAAATCTCAGTTGCAATGATGTCACCCACAGGTTCTGGACCATTGTGAAGGCAAGTTATCAAATCTTGCCCTGAGTAGGAATGAGCTCACCAGCTCTCTGCCAACTACCCCTTCACCCTGTAAGTTCACATCTGTTGAGGATCTATGAAGTTCTCAAAAGAAAATTGCTTTAACAATGCCTGGCACCTTCACGACTCATGAATGTGAACCTTGCTATAGTTTCCATAGTAACCCCTTACATGCTGAAGAAGAAATAAAGGTACTTTGAACTCTGTAACCCAGGTAGTTATTGAAGTGAGATATAATGCCACTAAAAACACCAACAATGATGCAATGCCTTTCTCACTCTGTTACCTCGTGCTGTATAAACTTTATTTGAAGAATCTTTTGCAAGATCATGGGGAGGTTTTCAGGATGTCTTGATAATCCTTTACACAATGCATTTACATAAAAGTTACAAGGTCTGTCCTACCAAAAGACAAATGACAAGTGTGTTGCAGTAAGGGGCATTGCTACTGTGTGTAACCACTTACACACTTTATATCCATCATGGGGGCTCTCCAGGCAGCTGCATCATAGTATTTTTGTAACAAGTATTTCCAGATGATGTTTCATGGTAATTCCCTGCTATAATTCTTTGGTTTGAGGAACATGGATCTCAGTTCCTTTGTAGAAAAAAAAGAAGCTGTTATCCCCTGTTGGAGCTATGAATAATGAAGAGATATCAAAAATCCAATTCTTCTGCTTCCTAAAGCAGGCCTTGGATTTTGTGTTCTTGCCTGTTTCTGTCATTATTTCTTCTTACTTATGTCTAAAACCAGTTAGTATGGCTTGAATCTCATATCACGTAGGGGCAGGAAGATTAGCCCTTTCCTTCCCTTGCCCTGAGAGGTCCTTCCCCTCGTCTGGCCACCGTCCACCTTTCCTTATCACTTGTCTTCCATACAGATTTGCTATCTGGCCTGAATAAATAGTTGGCCTTGCCCTCTCTCTGGAGCAAGAGATAAAAAGTAAGGCTTTCCTTGCACTTGGAAGAAATATCACAAATGAAATGCAGTCGGACTTTCAGCAGTTCAAATTGGCAAGAATATAGGAAAAAATCTCTGATACTGTATCTCAGGATGGTACACTTTTATTTTTAAAATATGTTAGAAAAATATCCAAGTAGATATCCCCCAGTTGCTAAAGTAGCAGGAAATAAATCTCTTGTTCTCTATGCATAATTTTACCATCTCACTAAGGTGTCAGAGAGAGGTGCAGTGATCCACGATTCCACTGTGTCTCTCTGGAAATGCTTTTCATGCCTGTTTATAAAATCACAAGGTTAAGTTAAAATGGGTACAAGCTTCACTGCAAGGTGATAGAATGAGACCTGCCACAGGTATCATGGGGGCAACTTTTGTCACTGGTTCACACTGAATGCTTTATTGGTCAAGGGAAGTAGCTGAGATGCCTTTTAGTTAGCAGAGCCTACACTATGCAAAACCTTGAGGATGTTGTTTCTGTAAGGACTGAGCAGAGGCTATAACAGGCCTCTTAGAGTTCAGGCCTCAATTTCATTTTCCTGAGACTGAACGAGCAGTTTCTGAGGAAACACCACAAATAAAGGACAATCTCCAACACCCCCAACAGCAAGTGGGAGGCCTGGTACACACAATACTAGGCCAGGCCAGGCCTGAGCCAGCCCCCACAGCAGCTCAAAGACAGGGCCTAGGACTTGTCTGGGGCTGCCCCAAAATGGAAAATTTTAGCCCTGACCTGCCCCTGATTAGCCCCAGCCAATTAAAACACATTAATATGATTGTCACTTGCTTAAGCCAATCATATCTAAAATGATCTAACTTCCTTAGACATTGCCCTCTGTAAGGCAAGAAGCCCAACTCCTCCTTGGGGACCTGGTCGTTGCCATCTTGCCTTTGTGTGTGTGTGTGGGGGGGGTCAGCCCAGAATACTGGAATAATAAAGATTCTTTGCTTTTGCATCAGATCTGTTCTCTTGGTGGTCTTCAGGGGTCTGGACTAAGGCCAAACAGCCACCATAGTCTCTAAAATTACATTTCTGTTGCATAAGACTTTCCCCATAGGTTCAGATATTCGAACTTTTTCTCTCTACATTTTTATTAATGGATCCCGACCACACACACTTCCCACTTCTCACAGATCCACCCTCCAACCCTTGTGCTACACACACACACACACACACACACACACACACACACACACAAAGCCAACTCCGGTTTGTGTAACCCATATACTCACCAGAACATGACCAAACTCCCAGTGGCCAACCCCTTAAAGAAAATGGAGTGTTCCCAGTGCCCCCAGAATCCATCAACTGTGAAGATCTTCATTACACCTCTATCACTTTTTTAAGACTCTTGGATAGCCTCCTGTCTGGATTAATTCTTGAGGGAGGAGGGAGTGCCATAGAAACTTTCAATGTCTCTCATCTCAGTTATGAATCTGCAGCTATCCAAATCACTGCAAAAGAAGCTTCCTTGCCCTCAAGAAACCAGAGGCAGCTTGGGGTACAGGCATCATCACATCAACCTGGGGCGGGCAGCAGCGCAGATCATGGACTTCAACATGGTTTCTGTATGCAGCAGGGATCTTGGACACCAACATGGCTTCCAGGGACAGCACAAACCACAGACACCTACATGGCCTCTAAGGGCAGCACAGGCCATGAAATTTCTTCGCAGGAGATTTAGTGCAGAAAACCAACCATTCTTCATCTTGGATATCTTATTGTTGCTCAGAGGCCGTGTGGAGGGTGGGGCAGGACCTGAGCAAACTCCAGGGTACCCTGTGATCTCCTCCCAGCCAGTAGGGCAGGCTGCATAATGGCAGTAGCGCTTCGTCACTGCACTAGCAGTGAGGTGATCCAGAACCAGTAGCCCCTGTGGTTTCTCCATACCTGGCTTCATTCCTAGTTCAATTCTCTCTACTGAGCGTGCTGTTCCTTTCCGCTGTCGTTTTTTTTTTTTTTTTCCAAGTTCCATAAAGCTATTTAAAAACATCTTCCCGTAACACCTGTCTTTTGTTGTTGTTTGTTGTTGTTGTTGTTGTTGTTGTTGTTCCCGAGGTGTTGAGCAGTTTGTGGGCTCACCCTCTGCCTCCGTGTTCCCCCACAAAGGCTCCATGTGTGTCTCAAGCTGCGGGGAGGGGTGTTG